TCAAGAGAGATAGATCGTACTTCTGAAAGAGCCAGCCAGGTACTACATGAAGATTTGCTGCATTACAAAAAGAAATTCCCCACAAATCGACACCATTAGTTATGACATATCACCCTTTCCTGGAACCTACATGGAAAATCCTCAAGCAATTACAACCCATTCTAGAAGAAGACCTCATTCTTAAAGAGATCTTTCCAGAACCCCCCATTCCTAGCCTTTAAACAAACACCAAACCTCGCTAATCTCGTCACCAGAAGCAAACTCCCTATGATCCCAACCACACCAATGGATCCAGACCATACCAGGACAAGAAATGCAAAACCTGCCAACACATTTCCACCACCCCCACAATAACTACACCCCACGACAGAACCATCACCATTCCTGGATCTTATACCTACACCTCCAGAAATATAACAAATGTCATCCAGTGCACCAGATGGTTTGATGGATAATATGTAGGAGAAACCAAACAACAACTGCGCACCAGAATGAATGCACACTGATAACCTATCAAAGCCCAAATTCCCAACTACCTGTGGGGGCACACTTCTCACAGGACAATCACTTCCTCTCTGATCCCTGAGTTCTAATCTTGAAAGGGAACTTACAAAACACTTTTTGTAAACAAGTCTACAAACTTCACTTCATAAATCTACTGGATACCAAAAAAATTCATGGACTCAATATAGACTTTGGATTTATGACACATTACAACCTGCCTGACATCTGATTCATTAAGTACCCGCCTGACCTGACCTCTTATGTTCTTCTTTTTTCCCACCTTTTCTCCCCTCCCCTACTTTTCTGCCCTTTGTCTTCCTAACTTCCAATTATTTCCTTTTTCACAGACAGCCTCTTTTTCTACCTTGTGTTACTATCACTGTAGTGTCTCTCTTTGGCCTTTTTTCCCCCTTGCTTTCTCCCCCCTCCCATCCCTGCTTTACCTTTTGTCTAATTTTTACCTATTTACATTCTCACTTACATCCTGCCACACTTTTAGCTTCTCTCATTCCTTGGAGCCTCAGAACAGCAGAGACTCTCTATGCCCAAGGAAGGGTGACTGCACCTGAAAGCTTCCTAAGAACTTTTTCTCAGCTACTCACTAGGTCTAATAAAAGATACCACATCTACTGAAAGAACCATGCCTGCCTACACTAGGGAACTGACCTATTTGAAACTAAACCAGTTTCAGCATACATTTCAGCCCATCTACACTAGCCACGCTGAATAACTTTAGGAACACAATGAACCGCTTCTCTTTTAAAAAGTATATATTTTAAGTAAAGCAAGACTTATTTATGAATAAACAGAATTGCACTAAACACACGTGTGTCCATCACCATACTGTCTTGCTACCAAGAGCAAGCTAAAGATCCCAAGACACTACTTAACAGATCAGATCAAATACAATAACGATATTATCACTCTTAGTATTAATGAAAACAATCCAGAAGAAGTGTGTTTTGTAAGCAGATCAGAAGGTTGTGAAGTCTCCAGTATTTTTTAATTCATGACTGAGTTAATTCCACACTTTTGCATCAGCCCCTGAATAGACATTCAGAGAATGCAAGCACATACCTGCAGTGGCTCAGGCCAGGAGCGGGAAGGTGCTAGAGCAGCCCTCGGCTACAGGGAAGCTGTGCTGGGGAGTACATGGCTAGCTCCAGCAGTAGCTTGGAGCGAACTGGCCAGGGAGGGGGTTCAATTCCCCCCACCCTGTCCCACAGCACGGACCCAAGCTGGGGTCTTCTTGGTGCACTCCCCTTCCTGCTGCAGTGGCAGGGCCAGGCCATGGCCAAATGCCAGCTGGCATGGGCCCTGGGGCAGAGGGGGCAGGGAGGGGGGGTTCCCCCCTCTATCCCCACTGCCCCCCGTGGGCTGCAGCCAAGGTCTGCCTCCCCCAACCACTGCAGCCACTGCTTGCTCTTTGTATGGGGCAAACAGTGGCATAAGCCCCCTCTGAGAGACACTGGAGGGAGGGGGGAATAACCCCCTTCCTACCCCCCAGCTAAGGGGCTCTGCTGGCCAGCCTCTGGCCAGACCCCCAGCTGAGCCACTGGAGCAGCAAGGGGGAGGGACCTGACAGTTCATTTTATCCTGGTGTCCAGGGAGTGCAATCCTCTTTTCAGTGGGGGGCGGGGCAGGGAGGGGCTGCGAGTGGGAGCTCAGAACTGCAGTGGACTGTGCAGGATGAGCAGCAGCACCACAGCTTGGAGGGGGCCATAGCCCCCCAGGCCCTATCGACGCTGCCACTTCTCACCCCCATGTAGTCTGTGACAGCTCTGCCTGCCCCACAGCAGGCCCTCCCCAAGACCTGTAGTGTAGTCCCCTCACCAGGAAAAGACACCAAGCTCTGGGGACACCATGACAGGGTATGCAGCCTCCATCAGGACTGCTCCCCACTCGCCATTCCAGGGGCAGGGGCATGGCATAGCCAAAGGCCGTCCACCATGGCCCCCTTAGGGAGGCAGGGACAAGGGTTATTTCCCCCACTCTCTCCAGTGTCTGGTGGAGGAGGTTGTGGCGGTGGGCTTATCCTGCTGCTCACTTCCTGCAGGGAACAAGTGGTGGTGGCAGCAGCCAGGGCAAGCAGACACTGCTGTGGTCCCCCTGGGATAGAGGGGGAAATAACTCCCCTGACTGCCCCCTGCCTAAAGGGGGCCATGCCAGCTGGCCTCTGGGCCTGCCCCTGCCCCTGGAGCGGCAAGAGGGGAGTGACCCTGATGGGGGCTGCAACCCCTGTCATAATGTCCTAGAGCATAAGCCTCTTCCCAGCAGGGAAGCCATGATGTGGGGTGGGCAGAGCTGCCAGACACTGTGCAGGGGTGAGTGGTGATGGTGCTGGTGGGGGTAGAGGGTCTATGGCCCCCTCCAAGCCCCGGTGCTGCTGCTCGATCCATGCAGCCCATGACAGCTCTGACCTCCCCACTCATGGTCTGCCACCGGGAAGAGGCTTGCACTCCCTGGACACTAGAAAGGGGCTGCTTCCCCATTAGGGCCTTGCCCTCATTACTTCAACAGTGGGGTCAGGGCCTGGCCAGAGATCAGCCAGCAGGGCACCTTATGTGAGGGGGCATCTGGAGGAGGGGGCTTATCCTGCCGTTCGCCCCACATAGAGAGCAAGTGGTGGCTGTGGCAGTCAGGATGGGCAGACCCCGCTGTGGTCCCCTAGGGGCAGTTGGAGGAGAGGGGAGTATAACCATCCTCCCTGCCCCCTTTGCTTCAGGGCTCATGCTTGCTGGTGTTTGGCTGCACCCCAGCCCCATGACTGCAGCAGCAAGGAGGAGTGTCCAGCGGACTCTGGTTTGGGACTATGCAGGTGGGACAGGAAGTGGGGAATTAAACTGGCCCTCCCTGGCCAGTTCATTCCAAGCTACTGTTGGGGTTGGCCATGCCCCTGCTGATGAAGCAGCCAGAAGGGAAATGTAGGTCTGCACCAGTGGAACAGGAGTGGGAGGAGGGGGAAAAGACCTCTTCCTTGTCCCCTTTCAGGGACCAGCATCTTGGCCAGGTCCCAGCCCCTGCCTGTCCCTCCTCTGGCTAGGGAGCAAAGGGGCAGGGCTAGCCCTGTTATGTTGAAGCAGAGATCACAGCCCAGCCCAGACAACATGCTGGGATGCCGGGGGATTCTGGTTTAACTTGAACCAGGAAGGGGTCTGGGACAGAAGTTGCATAAACCAGTTTGAGCTCAATCAGTTAAGTCTGATTGACTTTTATTAGTAGATATTTAGGATTGTGAATCCAAAAAAGATGACAAAGCCGGTAGGGAAATACAGATCGCCTGAGCGGGGGACTAACAATAGAAGGATGGGGGTGAGGAGGGGAACTACTGCACTCAACCAGGTTTATCTCAAACTGATTTCAGCCATTTTGAATCTGGTTTATGTGCACTGAAATTATGTTCTGTTACAGGTTTAAACCAATTTCTGATAACTTAAACTGGTTTATGTTTAACGTCTATCCCTAGCCATGAAGAAAATAAGGAAGAGAAAACAGAAGGGTAGAGGGGAAATGGGAGAAATAAGAGGAGGAAATTAAAAAAATAATAATTCATTGCCACAATTGCTTAGATGAAAGTAGGTAAGGTAGATTATTAACTTTGTGTAGGGTTTGTTATTTTGGGTTTTTTTAGGGGGGGGGGGGAGGGAGAGTAGTGTTTCATATCTACCTTTATAGAAAAGTTAATTTATGTTGGCAATATTTTGCTTCACTGGGTGTTACAGCAGTTACTTACATTAGCAGTGAATTTGATTTGAAGGATTCATCTCAGTAAAACACAAGACCAGGATTTGTGTCTGCCTTATTCAAGTTACAGTGTAGTCAAGCTGGTCTATAATCATATCCATCCATTACCAAATTATGCTCAATATTTTCAGTACTGGGCTATATGTCAAATAATGCCCTTTTAATATTTGAATTTACAAAAAAAAAAAAAAAATTTGTGCCACTTCTGTATTCATTTTCTGTATGCATGATAATAAATTAATTAGAAGCAATGCTCATATGCGTAGCAAAATTTAACTAAATAGTAATGAATAGTAGTTGTAAAATCAGTTTTCAATTAAAAATATTTTGCAGTGCAGACCTTAAAACATTGAGACAGTTATGAAATGCAAGTAATAGCATGAAACTCCTACATCATAAAAGCCTAAATAAACAAAAATAAGATGAACCAGCACAGCTGAAATTTCAGATACAGACAACTTGTAGTGTAATGCTAATGAAGAAACTGAAGGTCAAATTCATTTGAAAAATGAATGAGAAGATCATTTCAAATACAAAACAAAAAATAAAATACTACTGTAATTCATAATCATTGACAAAATCATTTATTCCAAACATTTGAATAAAATCAAACTTTGTTCAGCTTAAATGGTATAGTGTGTACACAGCTAAATGCATCTTAATTCAAATTTTAAGTCAGAGTACTATACATTTTCAAAAGACTGAGTCTAAGCCTATATAAAAACTATCCCAATAAAGGAAAGAAAACACACCTCTTCTACGTCGTTATCCAAAACAATGATTTGTAATGGAGATGTCAGGTTCTTGTTGTCAGAGATAGTTGTACCCACTGGAGAGGACTCCAGGATGAAGCCTTCATACACAGATTCTGTGAAGTAAGGCTTCTGATTGTTCTCATCAAGGACTTCAATATGCAAATTGGCAAAGGCTGGAAGTGGATGACCATTATCTTGTTCTGCCTAAAAAAAGATAAATCTGATTTGCCACAGATTCTCTTTAGTATATCGTGCATCTCAGCCCAAGTTAGTATTGGTTTACATTCAAGGATTGCCAACTCTTCACACAAACAACTAATGCCTATTATTTCACTATGTAAACTGCTTATTTTGAAACATTAAACCAATAAAACAAAAATAAAATTAAACAAAGAATTAATTAGCAAAATAGAAACAGGAAGTTCAATCATAGACTGACTATTTTAACTACAAACAAACTCAGGAGTTGTACAGTATTAGATGACATTACATAAATATCAGTAAAATCTGGGAGGGGAAAGGAGGAAAAGGAGGGAGCCTAAATTAATCCTTTTGGCTTCTGATTGCATTCCAGGAACATTATGAGTATCAGATATTTGCTCTTTAAGGTTTAAGTCATGGAAGTAAATGAAGGAACTAGAGGACTCTTATTTGACAATAGTTACTTACAGTCAAATGAAATTAAAAGGGAACTTGTAAATCAAACTAGCTAAAGAAGTTCACTTAGACCAGATACAGGCATTATACTTTCACTGGTATAAGTAATTGGAAACTGGTCTATACCAGTAACAGAACACAAGTTTGGCACACAAAATTGGTCTATACCCATATGGAACAGAAATTCAACACACAGACTGATTTCAAAATAGCACAATGCAGTCTAAGATTTGTCTCTCCCTCCCCGCCCCCACCATGTTTCGTTCCCCCCCACAAGGAACCCCGACACCATTTTGAAGTGCAGGGTAAATTAGAAAAAATACATCTTCAAATAAGACTTTTCTTCATATAGTCCATTTAAATTCATTTTAGCTGGTTAGCATCTCTTTTGGTGCTCATTTTCTGAATACTGGAAAACTTACTTTTGTGAGGTGCTAGTCTTTTCTGAAATAGAATTAAGTCATGTGCTTGCAAACTGAATAATATATTCCTTGCAGGCAATTAGTTGTGATCTATTCAGAGACTTTAGAAGCTACAAAAAGTGCTGAATGCTTTTTTAAAAAAGTACTTGTTGAATGAGGAGTTGCAGAACTCCTGCATTGAGTGTTGAACTTATGACCCCAAAGGCTCAGTGACCTACACTTGAGTATGTGTGCATGCACAGTCAACCCTATATTATATAATCCACTTGTGATGGGAAAAATTGCCAGTCTTGGGTATGGTACCAAATACTTACCCCGGATTGGTCAGTGGAGCAATGGGCGTGCCATTGACCCCCTTACTGTCTGTGTGATTGGTTCAATGGAAGATTGACAGGAGTGGAGTGATCAAAAGGGTTAAATAGGGATGCCTTGAAAGAGGCTGCACTACCTCTGAAGAGAAGACTTGTCACTTGGAACTGCAGAAGGTGTATGTGTGACTGGATGCAAGCTTGAGGTCCTGGGAGGATGAGAGAAAGTGCGCATGCAGAGCAGTGTGGGCCAGGGCGGCCAAAGGGCATCATGACCCAGTGCGTGCGTGTACATCCAAGGTGACTGATGGAGATCGTGTGAGAGTGGGTGAGGACTGGGGTGGCCAATCCTTTCTCTCTCTACTGCTATGTTGTATGTGTGTATGTGTGTGTGTGCTGAGAGATGTTGTTGTGTACATTGTGGTATTAAGCTGTACTGTGCCTGTGACAACTAGCAACACTTGCTGTCGCAAGTCTGACAGCAGAGCTGTTTTGCTCTCCAACTTGTGTATGTAGATTTGTAGAATCCATTGTATATAATTGTAATTGTACTGTTATTATTCGTACTCACCTGTTGATTTTATATTTTCTCTTTGAGACTGCTTAATATAGTTTAGTTGTTGAACTATTCACCTGGGTCTTTGGTGGTCTTTGGTAATGAATTAGTATTCAGTCAGCTAGAGATGGCTGTAAGTTTACATCTGGTGTTGTAATAAGCGCCTACCAATTAAAGAGAGCAAGTAAAGTCTTGCTCTTAACATACCTACATAAAGTCATTTGCACCTTTATATCTGAAGGACAGAAATAAAAGATGAAATTAATCAAATAATTAATCATTATGAATTATTTACTTAGCTCTCAGTTTATACTACTCCATGTAAAATTGGGTTTAGAATGATTTTTGTTTAGGTGAATGTAGCTTTTACACTGACCATTTGCCTCAGGGAACTGAGTCAGCGGTGATGATTTAAAATACCGAAGTATTAGAAGCTGTTTCCAAGACTTATTTCTGGCTCCTGATTCAGCTTAACTGCACTTTGGCCTCTCCATTATTTTTACCTTGATCATAAATAATTGGTTTATAGTTCAAAAGGATTTTGTGAAGTATAATTGCCCATGTTTGCCTTTAGAAAAAGGGAATTCAATATGAAAATAGTGTTTACAATTAGTCATTTTCTTCCTGCTTGCCTTTCTCTTTTGTTTTCTGTTTTAAGGAAGAGTCATCTGAACTCAAAAGTATTGCAATATGACAATACCTCCGCTGTGGCATAATACTGAGAGGCAGAGCTTACTGGTTCATGTTCCATGCCACACTACTTCTGATTTAGGAGGTACTGCATATCAGTATGGCAGTCCCTAGCATTGTACTGGAATGATTTAAACATACCTGTAGGTGATAAAATCACAGAAAGAAAAAGAATATTTAAAGCATTCCATCTGGACTGTAATTTGGGTAAAAGTAATTATAAATATAAAATTAGAAAAAGTGTGATTACACTGTAGATAATGAATACATTGGAATCAATTCACAGAATCAGTAGTTTGGCAGGAACCATTTAGGTGACCGTAATGTACACTCTTCATACTTTTACTGATATCCCACCTACATCATTTCCTTAAAGGTTTCATGTGTAGCTTTTTACACTTCATGCTTTCATCGAAAGAGATGCAAGTCTATGAAAAACACATTTGTTCCAGATGTTCAGTGCTATTTTAATAGTAAACCTGAAAACAATGTAATTATCTTTAGATCACCCTGTTATGACCTCTTCAGAATTCTGTATGACTAATTATTTGTTACTTCTTACATTATCATGCCTTAACACTTTCTGCATAGGAAATATGGGAATCAAAACTACAAATCTCATTTTTTTAAGACACAGTTTGGAATAAATGGTATATACTATATTTCTTTCAGGAAAAATAAGATACTGGTATTCAGGCATCTATCAGTTCTTGGTTCCATTTTGTTTACTTTATATTAGTGACTTGATATTCAGTACAATGGATTTTTAGTTGTGGTTTTACTCATTATTGCCACAGATTAAAAAATATTCAAGTACAACTGAAATTCTGATCTTGAATGACTACAGAAGAATTTGATTTTTCCTTAGGAGGGAGTACTTCATTATTACTAGTAGTGAGTGATCTCATCAGCCAATTAAAGATTGACATTGATGAAGCTCAAATGGTGTTCAATACTCTTCAGTAAAAGAAAAGTAGTTTATAATGAGGATAGCTTAAGGATTTAACAGAAGGCGACTTGAAGCTATAATTTAAGCCTGCATCTGTAGCAAAAACCCCCAGTTGTTCTTGTTTTTTATTTAAAAATGCATTCCCTCCCTTTCCCCTAACCATTTCTGACTTTTTCTCTCCCTCTCTATTCCCTATAGATAAGCATCAGTGAGCTAAGACATAGGATAAGCTTCAGCATTTTATTTTGGTAGCAAGTTGTATTTGTTTTGGGGTTTTTTTCCTCCTTCTTTTCAAATAAGTGCCCTGTTATGGATATCCACTGTTTTATATTGTATAATTATTATGTCTATATTGATTTTTACTGTTCTATATTACTGTTTTACTGATACTATATGATTTAGGCCTACATACGTAAGTTAGCATAAGTTACGTCAAGTTTCCATTTTGGTTGTCAAGTTTCCATCTTGTTTCCCCTGCCCGGGCATACCCTATTGTAACTCTGTTGTAACTGTGTGACTCATACCTACCCCTCCTATGTAACTTGGTTCCTGAATGAATGGGGATGAATGAGGGTGCTTGAGAGTCAAGGGCAGTAGGTCTAAAAATAGCTTCTTCTGAATGACCAAACCATCAACTCCACGACGCTACCATCAGCCTGCATTGACCCTCCCTGGCTCAAGATTTGAAAGACAAAGACTGCTGCAGATCCCACCCAAGCCACCATTACAGACACCTGAAACTGCATGTCCTGACCTGGAATGCACATGCTCAGTACACCAGGGGCTGGCCCTTGCCTGGGCAGGTCCCCTGACACTGGGGTCACAGAAGGACTGCCCCTATAAAAGGGGGCAGTGAAGACAGACCCAGTGGGGATGCCATCTTCACCTGGACCAGACCTGCTCCACGTCATGCTGCCTATCAACCCAGAGGCCCTGCTGGCGACCCCACCCTCTGGACAACACCTGCTGGACAAAGATCCCAACTGGCCATCGAGGACCCCCTTCCAGCCTGGATAGGTAGCTATCACCCCCACCCTCTCTTCAACCAAGGATTGGACTCTGCTTCTCTTCCCTACCTGGACTCCAACCCTTCCACTGAGTCTCTTTATCCTACTACCATTATGAGTGTGTGAGAGTGAGAGTGAGAGAGAGAACCAATAACTTCATGGGGCTGTGTAGTAGGTTGTCTGTTCAATAAACCTGTTATTTTGAAGCACCGAGTTGGGTTTTTCTGTTTGCTGACCGTTGCCCCCTTGCCACCAATTATCTGCACCCTGATCTCCCAGCTGTCTGCCTCAGTTTCCAGCCCCAAGCCCCCAGCTGTCTGCCTCAGTTTCCAGCCCCAAGCCCCCAGGTTTCTGCCTCTCTCTCTTTCCTGGCAGTCTCTTCCTTGCCACTGGGCTTTTCCCTTGCACCAGTGACCTCAAGTAACCCTGGGGCCACTTCACCTTAAGTAACCTCAGCTCCCCTCCAGTCTGCCGGTTCTAATCCTGGCCCCAGCAACTTTCACTCCTGGCACTTTCACTGTCTCATTTTAACCCCCATCCATCTCCCTCCTCCTCCTTCTGGAGATCTTTGACCTTAATTCCCCCTTCCATAGTCCCAAGCACCCTGGGTATCCT